GCAATATTTAACCTCTGCGTCGAGTGCAGGACACGTGCGAAAAATGGGGCTTTTGCATATGGCATGTATAGGCTTCTCGCACATCCACTTGCATCGCTAATGCGATTTTTCCCCAGCCTAAGCCCGGGGATCCATAAGCTCGGGAATCCATTTAGAACGCGAAGTGGGGCTAAGCGGCTGCCGTTGGCCGGCCATTGGTTATTTTAATTGCGCATAAAATGACTGGAACGCACACTCCATTGATCACGCACGGAAATATGTAGTGCTTAAATGCGTGCTAAAATAGAACGCGGTCTAAACATGGCTTACACTAAGAAAAATATGTATTCCTAACATTTACCTTGTGTGCGAAACCATTTAATAAAAGAGTTCACACCTTTGGAAACGAACATTTGTAGTTACAAAATGCAGAAGTATCTTATTTTACTTTCAGATTTTTATAATCACAAAAACAACCAAAACTTTTAATAAGCGAGATCAACTTAAGGCAAATGTTTTAAATAAACTACTTCTGAATGCATTCACTGGCTCTCTAAGACCTGCTTAGAAGCTTAGAAGATAAGAGCAAAAAGTCTCAAGTCAACTTTTTGCGGAATCCGGCTTTATTCACGAACTTTCAAATTAAAAGCTTTGATAAGAACGAACCACAAATAATACTTATAAGATTAAACATATACATGTATTAGAATAAACGACTAATATAAATATTTTTAGAATAAACTCTATTAAATCATGTCTATAACTTTGCAGAATTTCGCAGAATTATTATTGGGGATAAAATTGGTTCACTATTTAGTAGCGGGGAAAAGGTTGAAAACTAGAAAATTCTAAAATAGTTTAACTATCAGAAGATCTCCATTGATGTCTAAGAACTTTTAAGAGATATGTCGATTATTTTGTCAATTATCATTTAATACACAATTAAATCACTATTACATCGATATTTTTCTAGTGTAGGGTTTTTCAATCTTAAGCCCTCGTCGGGGGCTATAGACTGGCATATGCACTTGCCATGACATGGTTAATGTGACAACGACTGTTTGCACAGTTTGCTTAATATTCCACACGTGCAGCCACATATATATACATATACCATTGTACACATGTACTGGGGTCATAATGAGGGGCACTTGGCGGTGTCAGAGGTCCAAGCAGTCGACTCCCCGACTTCTCGACTCCCCGACTCTGTGTGTCATCAGCAAAACGGGGCCAGTCGACTGCTGGCAATTGTATTATTTATCCTGGAGGTGGGAAAACACACACCCAAAGCCCCAGAGATGGTCACTTCACCCACACAGGCGGGCATTTAGTTATCCTTAAGCTACTTAAGGACACACATAGTCGGGATAGCTGGATGGCAGGGGGGCTGAGCACAATTTACAGACTCACCTCAGCCAAATTAATTAGTGCAATTAAGCTAACCGCGCCTATGGGAGGAGCTGTCAACCGTTGAAGGACCTGTATTTGCCCAAAAAATTAAGTATACGCTCTGTTCGCCAATGTACTTAATCAGAAATTGCGGTCCCACTTCATTGGCATTCATGCGCTGACCCAAGCTGAAAGGAACTCTGAAACTTTCGTCAAAAAGGATTCAAATGTCGAATGAAACGATTTTCCAGCCAGGTAGCCAGCAAACAATTTATCTTCGCCGCCAAAGGAGCTGCTGGCCTATAAAAATGGCAATCATTATTATAGTCATGTACCAGGCAATGGGGCGTTACGGCAATCAACGCCAGCGTCCCTAGCAGGGTTCCATAAATAAGCGCACAATTTCAATTTTCAACAGCGCCCCAAAGGAACTCACACACTCGAGAACCAAAATGAAGGCCTCCCATCCGAAGACCGGAGACAGACGCAGGCCGCATCGGAGATTATATGGTAGATGGTATATGAGGTGGATGGAAGATGGTATATGGGTATATGGTATTTAAATGCATATTTTAATAGCCATAAAGCGGACAGCTCCTCCTTGGAACCCGAAATGCCATCGGGCACACTTAAAGGCCTCCCTTGGATACGGATTTCGATTCTGGTTCGTATACGGATACGGATACTTGGCCAGGACAAGGCCGAATGCGCAACTAAAACAAGAGAAGCCTCGTACGGGAATGTAATATATAAATTATAAACGCAAACTGTGCGACAAGGATTTCTGGTTGGGTTTTCGGTTTGCTATATTACTTGTCTTATTTTCTTTCCTCTTTTTCTTTTTTGGTATTATTTCTGCTGGTCGACATGCGATTGCGATGGCAAATGATTTTGCAGTTGCAGGCGGCAGAGGGTTAAGGGGGCGAAAGGGGGGTTAAGGGGGCGACAAATCGAAGCATAAGCTGGTAAATCGAGGGGGAACCAATGGCACATGGTGCAAGTCGAAGGTCAAGGGTCATGCCGGCAGATCTGCTCGAAATTTACTGCAACACTTGCCGCCGTGCCCCAAGGCATCTTTAGTGGCACATATACGTTTCGTATATTTATAGGCTGGATGGAAATTGATGACGTCTCCATCGAGGCGGTATCTCTGCCACGCCCCGTTGCCCCCTCGATTTCGTGTCCTTAGCTCCGCGATGTCATGCCGCATGCAGATTGTCGTGCAGCAAGTAAGCGAAGTAACTGCAACTGCAAATGCTGAACTTCACTGAGAAAATAAAATCCAAAAGGGATCATCTAGAAATATAATGCCACATTTTTTATATAAAACCTTGCTTGTCTGATAAGTTTAAATTTAAAATTTATAGCAATTTATATATTTATGAAATGGAGAGAAGTTGGTTGGAATACTTTCATTCTGGCTGAACCCACAATCATTTCAACTAAACTTTAGAAACCCATTCTCATTAAAAAAAAGGATATCCTTAAAAACTTTTCAACTTAAATGCATCATAAATGATAAAAATAATAGATTTGTTTAATTTTGTATTATTATTATTTAAGTTCAAAACAAAAGGAAAAAAAATCTATATTTCAAAACCTGGTTTTTTTACAGCCCTAAAAAACGCACTTATCAGAGATTTTAATCACTTAAAATCTGTTAGAAAGTGTTGCATACTTTCAACACCTTAAAAATTTGGTTTTGAATGAATATAAGCTTTTGAAATGGAGTTTAAGCTTTTTAGATCCTTTTTCGCTTAGTGTATGCTCTGGCAACTGCCGCAAAGTCTGTGTTAGCCGGAATCGATCCGAAGGAGGAGCAGCGGAACTCGAGTCCTTATAACTTCACCCCACTGTGCATGTGTGTTCGCCATGATGCGAGTGTATTAGTGGGGGCCAGACTATATGCCTATGCCTATTCCGTATCCTTACGCCTATAGGCGTATGAATATGCCACGCGATGTGATTGTGAGTGCGAAAATGTGGCGACGCCAAAGGAAAGTTGGAAGGACCCCGAGTTCGCTTGGGTTTGGCTTGGTTTGGTATGGTTCGGTTCGTTTTGGTTGGGTTTGGTTTGGCTGCTGGCCTCTGGGTTCTGGGTTCCGACTTCTCGGTTCTGGGTTCTGTATTTTTTGGACTTCAAAGCTTCTGGGCCAGGATGACGTAGTCCTCCGGCTAAAGTGTGTTAGTATGCCTGCCCTTCCGACTTGGGGTTGCACACACACACACACACACAGAGACGCCGTTTACCCATACAAACGCACTGAGGGTGCGAAGGGGCATTTAATGGTTCGTGTTCTTCCCATGCCTTTTTTTATACTTTTATTTTTGCCTCATCTCGCTCGTTTGTCGCCCATATTGGGGTCGCCTGACGGTTCATACTTTAAAAGCGCCATTTAGTCCGCAGCCAGCTAAATTATTAAAAGCAAATCCAACACAAGACACACACACACACAGGCAGTTCATTAAATTCAATGTATGCAAAATAGCGGCAACAAATGCGGCGAAAGGCAATCTTAGGCCACCCAACCGCCCACTCGACCATCCAGCTGTTGTCATTTTCCCTCCACAAACCCCAAAAAAGGAGAAGAAGTTCCAAGTTAAGCTCATCATAATCATATGCTTACTAAAGCACAGAAAGAAAGTAGTTCTATTATTTCTAAATATTTTAAATAGAAATTATTTGATTTACTTTAACTTATAGATTTATTTCATCATAACATCGAAGTATTTCATCTTTCTTAGTTTTTTCAAAATATTAGTATTTATAAAAATATTATGGGTAATAAATATTTTGAGGCTAACTCAAATACTTAGGGTTCTCTTAAATATTCATTGTAAATACATATATTTTTTGATAACATCCTATTTTACAAATGAAAAATTCATTGCCTACTTTTAGGCACTGGCTTTTGTATGCTTTTTATTGTTTTAGCTTTTATATAGATCGTTGTTCTGTAAAGTTTTTAGGAATTAACAACTTTGCTGATAAGAAATGCACCCAATATTTTCAACCACAATTTGGAACTACTCTACTCTCTTTTTTCCCTGTGTAGCAACTTTGCTGCGCAAATATGTTTCGCCAACTTCAATTTGTGTCCCAGGTAGTAAGTTTACACGAGTTTGTGTGTGTGTGTGTGTGTTTAAGGGGCCCTGCCGTGTTACTCTGTGTCTGTGTGTGTGTGCGTTGGTTTTTATGCGTCACGTGAGAATTTCCTTTATTATTATTTGACTTGGCTGCCTTAGTACATATCACGTATACGCAACGTATAATTCCGCAGAAAGGGCATTGATTTTTTTGATTTGCTTTCGGTTTCGCCACCTTTCTTTCCTTTCTCCCCCTTTCGTTTATTACTTTGATTGCTTTTCACTTTTTTAAGCATGGATACTCTGCAGTTTGTGCTTTTCTTTGGCCTGCTCAAGCAGAAAAATATTTGCTCGCCTGCTTTTTTTTTTGTTTTTATTTTTGGTTTGTGTTTGGCACTTTTTTTGGCATTATTTCTGCGTTTTTTTTCTTGTTGCACGCTGTTCGGTTCATCAACACAGACACACACCATCACACACCATCGCACACACTCACGCACACAGACGCGCGCGTAAAGAAATATACTACAAAAATACAAATTGCTCACAATTTCCTTTGCTCTAGTTAGTTGTTGTTGTTGTTGTTGCTTCTGCTGCCTCGCACTGTTTGATTTTTCCTTAGGGTTTTTCTCGGAAAATTCCACGACCACGCGCTACCACGTCTGACCACGTTCTGAACTGGATTTCCCTCGCAGTTGGGTGGAAAATGCGAATATCGTTGGTGAAAACTGTATGGGCGAAAAGTCACCATCAGGCGGCAGCCGCTTTTCCTCTCACAGGACATGCGCCTTGAGAGCCTGCAAGTGACACACTTTTCCGCGCCCACCGTCGCCAATGAAGTGGATTTTCCGAACCACCGCTCCCCTCCCCTTGTCCTTTTCCCCTCGCCCACAAAGCGTACTATTTACATGGCACATCGGTTTAAGGCGGCTGGCAGTTTTCCTTCGTTTCCCTACTTTTTTCGTACTTTAGTTTGAAGTGAATTTCGCATGCATTACCCGGAGGATGAGTGCACCGGAAAAAATCTATCACAATGTAGAATAAATTTGATTTATATTTATAAATCATAAAATATCTAGCTAGCATTACTTTTCTTTTTAATTTTATGGTATTTTCGGTTTACGGTTTCTGCTAGTTTCTAGTTACAATTTTAATATCAAATATTAAATTCCAATTTCAGTGTATTATTAAATATTTTAAGAAGTATCTACGTTCATTGAAATCAATCTGCGTGACTCAAGAACTCATTTATTTTTAAAACTCAAACGATTTTTTTTGTTTTTTTAAGAACCTATACTAGAATTTGATTATTAAGACGGTAAATTCTTTAAAAAATTATCAATTATCTTGTATGAGTATGAGTATTATCAAATATAAATTACTTTTAGTAAATATATTTTACATTCATACAAAAATCAGATCCGATCATGAAGTTTCTATTAACTTAAAAAGATTACCATTTTAGTAACCAAATTCAAATTTTCTACGTTATAACATACAATATTTAAATGAAATTAAATTAATTTACAAATTTCCTTTTAACCCAACTTTATTCAATATTAAAAATCAAAGTAAATCTCATATTTTCAGTGGTTTTCTTCTCTGTCGCATTACAGGGAACCTGGTGTGATGTGCCGCAAATGTCATTTACAATGGCCGAATATTTTTTGGGGATGCTGCCACCCAGTTCAGGGAGTTGAAAATTCGCATTTGCCGCATCCATAATTAATGACATGTCCTTTCGGCCGTTTTCGTCTTTCGGTTAAAGTTAAGCTGCCCGGGTTAACTGACCTTTTGCAGTGCGGCTAACGAGGAATGCAAATAGAAGGCACTGGCCAACAGTAAAGTTCAGCCCTGTTTGTCCACCGGCTAAATGCAATCTAAAATAATATCTATCGCATTTCTGCGCAAACACATCTACCAAAAAGTAAACAATTTAATTTTGTGCACACAAACTTGCTGATTCTGGCAGTTCCAATTTAAATATTTAACCGAACATTTTAATTAATGGAACGAGTTTTAAATTGTGTTTGCCAAAGTGTGTGTGCGTGCATACGTGGGCAATATCTAAGCAATAAAAAAGTGTTTTGGCCAGAAATGGTTGCAGTTTATTTTCACATTTATTAAATTAAAACTTGTGTGCCGTGCAGTTTGGCGTCAACGAAGCAAAAAAAGCTAATTAAAGTGAGCAAAATAGTATTTATTTGAGTAGAAATAATTGGACACCTTTTGTGTGTACTTTTCATTTTGGTTTTATATTAATTATTCATTCATTTTTAGTTCAGTTAACTTACTAAATAATGGGAAGCTTTACATGTGAATCTTTTTGTACTTTATGCAGGTAACATATATGTATGCCTATAAGGACAATATAAAATACCAATGGTAAAAATGTTATTTTGGTTAAATAGGAAATAAGTACGCGTGCAGCTTCAATCTTTTAATGGGCAAACATTCAAAGTAAGTAAACATTGCTATTAAATATTTCATATTTTAAATAAGCGATTAAATGATGATAAAACTTTATTGAGTGGTAAATTACAGCTGGAATTATTTCATATATTGATATAGATAGTGAGTTACATTTTATTTACTTTACGTATACAATATAATATTCGCATTAGAAATGAAAACATTTTAAAGTCTTTTAGGCTTGCAAAACTAAATAATTTTGTTACAACTAAAAACAAAATACCATTTAGCTAAACAGCTTATGGAAAAGCTAAATATTTACCAATCATTATTTTTGTTTAGCAACTGTTGACAGCTGTTATAATTATCTAGTTTCGGCAAGAGAACCAACACTAAATTTAATTTAATACCTGGGGAAGGAGGGGCGAATGAAAACTATTTTCCGCCGAGAAACAGCGTTGGCGGATCCCAAAAAGGAAACCGCCGCCTGCAACTGCGAAATGCGAAACGCAGCGGAATCAAAAGAGGAAAAGCCAGACCCCCCGAAAAAGAAAAACAGAAAAATAAAAATAAAATAGAAAAAAGAAAAACCCCCACCAGAGCCGACTCAATTCAGCGAAATCAAAAACGCCAACGGCGGCTGCCTGTCAATTAAAACATTAAAACGCGCTGAAAAATGCATCGAAAAGGCGCAAAATAAACAAACGACGGAACATAGAGCGGTGTACACTGTACAGGCAACATTTTCAGCGATTAGAAGCATAGAATTTCGCAATGGAGCACTTAGAGCCAGAGTTTGGGGCCCAGACTTCCAAAGCGAATCCGAATCCGACTCCGGATCGGCGGCTCAGGGGAGGGACAGGGACTAATGTGTGACCCAGTTTGGATCGGTGTGCAGGAAAGGAACTATGTTTTGGCCATTTGCTTTTTGATCATTAAAAACTGGTTGTCCGCAGCCAGCTGAGCGCCCATGTACGTTTGCGGTCAGATTAATAGCACCAGCGCCGGCCATAAATTGGTCAATATAAATCATTAGTGATTCACGGACCACTAGAATACAAGCGAGCATCTGTCAATGATTTATGAATCTACTTCAAGCCACACTATGTTTATTTTTTTCAAAATTAACCGAAATAATAATGATTTATGGGTGGAGTTTGTGGCTCTTATCGTAAACGATTTATGCACTAGGAAATTCGTATTGACGTCGTTGTTAAATTATATAAACTGAGGTCATGGTTCACCCTATTTCGTAGGTAGAATAATTTAAATCTAATTCAGTTGAATTTGGTATTTAATTAGAATCTGCAATTTATTTAGTTGGGTTTTCATTTTTAATGACAAACCTTATTTAAAAATAATATTATATTAATAATTACCGTAGATACATTTAAGAACATAATAAAAAGGTTTCCTTACAAAAAGTTTAAAAACACTTAAAGCATTGAAGTAATAAAATAGATCAAGGGATACGATCTTTTTCTTACTTTTCTTAATGGTGAAAAATATTTTCATTTTCAGGCACTATTAAATCACCCTCAGGTGTATATATCTCTTGATTTTGACCGCCCGCCCATGTCTTCAGCGGCAGCGAAGCTTTTTGGCATTGCGGCGTGGCTTTATAAACGACCGGCGATGACGGCGGCGAGCCGAGTTTTACCATTAGATTAGCCGAACGCGCGCGCATTTTCCCACGATCAGGAAAACCGAAAATACATACGGTCATGAAGGATCTATTCAACTGGATAACCCTGGAGCTGATCCTCCTGATGGGCAGTGCCATAGCCTTTCCGGATGGAGCTCCAGCGGATACGTGTGTGAAACAGAGGGCCAATCAGCCAAATCATGGCAAGGCCAGGAGTCAGCCGGCCCACTCGAATCCCTACGAAGTGGTGGCCGATTCCCAGACCTATCACCCTGGTCAGCAGTTATCGGTGGTTATATATCCGCACTCCGATCAGAGCACCGTCTTCCGGGGATTCTTCCTGCAGGCACGGGACTCCCATTCGAACGAGTGGATCGGGGAGTGGGTGCAGAGTGAGAACACCAAGACCATTCCCGAGTGCTCGGCCATCACGCACTCGGACAATCGGGATAAACTAGGAGCCAAGCTGATCTGGAAGGCCCCGCAGAATAAGCGGGGACAGGTCTACTTCACGTAAGTCTAAAATTAAGGGAGGCTATGCCAGAAGAAATACCAAATACCCAATGTACTATAATCATTTGAATGATTTAAAATAAATCCAATTCTTTAGAGTGAATATACAAAATATTAAAGTACCATAGATTAAAAATTGTATAACTGTTAGTTCATATTATTGGTGTGATATATAAGTCTACTTGGTTTCGTCCTAAGTTCTTGATACATTTTCACTACCAAGTTACTTTAATAAATGTGTGTTTAACACCCATTTTTTGGCACTTCAATGAAACACTTTGTCAAATACAGGCTTCGTACAAATACAGTACGTGTCTTCTATCGCCCTTAACCATCACAATAACCATCATCATAATCATCATCATCAGAAGCCTCAGTAGAAGTATATTACAAGCAGTAGCACCATCATCGTGGGTCGTGAAGGGATTCATTAATCATACGCCACGTTGACCCACATAATATAATGCGCGCATAATTGTCAGGCCGACAAAAACTTGCCGGATAATCGCACAAAAGGCATTATGTAATTGATTTATTTGGAAAGAGCCAGGCGAAAAGAGTCTTCCAATCATCGGTCCACAAAAAAGGCATCAAACGGCAAAGACGCCTCGCAGTGACAACCTCAAAAAAGCCAAAGAAAAGTAGTCAATGCTTTTTGTACGACAACTTTGTCAACTTTGTCAGCGAAAAACACTGGCCAACAAGAAGGTGCGCCAACTGTGAATTAACCAAACAGAAGTTATTTTAAGGACACTTGGATCATCTATCATTTTACCGCAAAGAAGATATGCAAATTGCGAATTAATCAAAAACAGACAAGGAAAGTTTAGAACTCATTTGCATAAACTTTATTTTCAATAGATTTTCTGATAGGCCTAATGGCTTAATAAAATACTTTAAAGATTTTAAGCCAATAAAAGGAAACTCCTGTGTGGAACTTAAATCACAGAATTATTTATTATAATAAGCAATTTAAATTCAGTGAAATTGTAATTCCAAGTACTGAAGAAAGTGAAAAATAATCTTGTCTGTAATAATATATGAAATTGAACTTAATATTTACGCATTCCCTTTTACACTCCAATTAATCACCACAAATTAAATAAATGTAGTTCAGTGTAGGTTTACCTAAAATATATCCTAAAAATGTCGAATCATCAATTATTACCTATTCATAGCCCGCTACACATCGCATGCAATCTGTCGTATAAATTAAAAACAATCATGACTTGCTCAACGTAGGAATTTACATTTACATTTTCCTATTTTTCCCTTGCAGGGGCACTGTGCTACAGGAGTACGGAACCTTTTGGAGCGACATCGTTAACAAAGTGCAGGCGGAGCCGCAATAACTGAAATTATGTACTTACTTATAAGGCAGCTGTACCCAACAACGCCGGGGCAATAAATCTTAAAAACCCTAATTAGTCAAAACGAAATTGTTGTTTGAAGATTTTTCAAATACCATTCCGACGTCTCGGAGCCAAAGGCGCCCCATTGAGCTGTGCAATCAACATTACAGGGCAAAATTATTGACTTTTTGGCTTAACGTTTATGAATGACCAGCCCACATCCGAGCAAACGAACCAGTTCCCACCGCCCACCGCCTACCGCCTACCGCCTACCGCCCAGCGGTACCCAGTGTTCCAGTACCCGTATCCAGTATCCCAGTACCCCAGTAACACCCATAACACCCGGTAACACCCACATCCGCCCACACTTAGACCAGAAACTCGAACGCACGAGCCGAGCACGTTTGGGTTTCCAGACACGTTGGCCAGCTTCTCATTGGAAATTCGTTTTGGGCCTTCAAGTAAATTGGAAACTTTAAGCACCTTTCATGCCGGCTGTGCAAGAAACACAGGCAACTGGGCTGATATAAAGTAATTAGACGGTCAACCAATTTTGGCCAAGACATAGGCCAAGATAAGTAATCGTAGCATAGGTCTAAAGCAGTTCTGATTGCCCTTTTACAATGCCTCTTAATCAAACGGAGCGGATAAGGATAAGGAATCAGTTGCAGATATGACCAGAGGTAGAAGAGTTCGGGGAATTCTTTATCGGTAGACGGTTTAGTTCTATTGAATCTATTACGAATTATGTTTGCCAATTAAAATGTGGACATTTAGTGGAGACAATATAAACAAGAACTGGATTGGATGGGATTGGATTTTAAGCAGCACAATAAACAAGTGATAATAAACTGAATCCAGCACTCTAATTGCTAACATATATTACAAAAAAATATAATTAATTTAAACAAAGATAAAATCCATATTTTAACTTTACTTACATTTAATGTATCTTTAAAGTAAAATACTTATCCATCATATTTAACTTATTTTTGTATAAGCAAAGTGCTTAAATGGTGATTGGTATATAGGGAAATGCAATGCCAAATATTCCGCTGAAATCTGGAAAAATACAAATAAATTTTCACACATGCCGGGGCTTGACTGTACAATGCACTTACAAACTTTGCTTGCAGCTTGTTTACTCGTCTGCGAATCCAGTCGTTCGGTTGTTATTGTCATGCCATCGAAAAGTGCATGGCAACCAGCGCTGGATTGAAAAAAGGGGGTAAAAGGGGGTTAAAGGGGGCCCATGGGGAGCATTTTGTTTTCGTGCGTTGCATATAGTATATGCGAATATGTTCGCTGTGCGGTTTGCCGACTTGTTTTGATCGAATTCGCCGTACCGCCGGTCTTTGTCTGGCTTCGTGGATTGTCCAGGGGCGCAGTCGAAAATCTGAGGTTCCAGTGTAAATACCCTCTATTCGGAGCATTCCGTCCCTGGGCCAACCGAGTTCGTTGTCCAGTCGGGCGAGTTTGAGTCTGTTTTTCCGCACGCGTTTTGTTTATTACCCGGTGACTTGTTGCTGTTCTTTCCGCTGCCTTCGTCTCGTTTATCAGCGACTGGGAATACTGGCTGCTCAACACTTTAGTCAATATTTAGCGGCTTCCCAGAGAGGTTCACAGATCGCACACGCTCCATAACTTCGAAAACATGGTTATCAATTTCGCCGCCGGTCCAGCCAAATTGCCCGAAGAGGTCGGTAAAACGGGTGGGATTACTGTAACACTTTGCCAAAACATGTGACATGCCTGTAATATCATAATTAATTATTATTCAGTTGAATTAATTGCTATTGCACAGTATGTACATTTTTAAATTGTTTTTATTTTGTGCATACAGCTTTGCTAGTAACTAGCTTTCACTAGCTAATGAAAAGTACATATGTGTGTGCTTTAAAACTGTCGTAATATACATATGTACCTTTTGTAACCTTCTTAATAACTTATTTTTCAATTAAATAAATCTATTTACTAATTTAAGTATATTTTGAAACCATCAAATTGCTCACCCGATTTAGTCCACATAACAATCTTCAATATAATTTCTGTAGGTTCTCAAAGAGGTGCAGGAAAACCTCCTAAACTGCAATGGCAGCGGCATATCGGTCATGGAAATGTCCCATCGTTCCAGCAGCTATGCCAAAATCCAGGAGGCAGCCATCAATGATCTTCGTGAGCTCCTCAGTGTGCCCAGCAACTACAAGATCCTGTTGATGCAGGGCGGTGGCACAGGACAGTTTGCAGCAGTGGCCATGAATTTGATTGGAAAAACAGGAACTGCCGATTACGTAATCACTGGATCCTGGTCATCCAAGGCGGCCAAGGAAGCGGCTCAGTACGGCACTGTGAATGCTGTGCTGCCAAAGCTGGCCAAATATACATCAGTTCCACGTCAGGACACTTGGAAGTTGGATCCCAAGGCCTCCTATGTCTACTATTGCGACAATGAAACCGTAGAGGGCGTTGAGTTCGATTTTGTGCCAGAGGTTCCAGCCGGTGTTCCACTGGTTGCTGATATGTCCTCCAACTTCCTGTCGCGGCCCTTTGATGTCTCCAAGTTTGGCGTAATCTATGCAGGAGCCCAGAAGAATATCGGACCAGCGGGCACCACCGTAATCATTGTCAGGGAAGATCTCATAGGCAAGCATTTGAAGATCACGCCCTCTATTCTAAACTTTGAGCTGATGGACAAGAACAGCTCGCTGCTGAATACTCCGCCAACTTTTGGGTAAGTGCTGTAAGATGCTTAGTTGTTTAACTTTTGTTTAACATTCTTCCTTGCAGCATCTATGTGATGGGCCTGGTGTTCAAGTGGATCAAGCGGAACGGAGGCGTGGCTGGCATGGCCAAGCTTTCGGCGGCCAAGTCCAAGCTCATTTACGACACCATTGACCAGTCCAATGGTTTCTTTTACTGCCCACTGGAAACCAATGTGCGTTCGAGGATGAATGTGCCTTTCAGAATTGGCAGTGCCGCGGGAGATGATGCGCTGGAAAAGGAGTTCCTGGCCAAAGCCGAGGCGGAGGGCATGATCCAGTTGAAGGGTCATCGCTCGGTAGGCGGCATTCGTGCCTCCCTCTACAACGCTGTAACGCTGGCAGAGACCCAACAGTTGGCCAATCTCATGCTGGCCTTTTACAAAAACAATAAAAACTAGACAGTTTCGCTTGTAATTGGAAGATGAATTGAATTCAGAGAAGACCACGTTGGCGGAAGATTTCATCTAGTTTGAGTTCCAGATTGGCGTTGGTTCCTCGCAGATTGTCCACCACCTTTTTGGCCCAAATGAAGTACTGTTCGCGACGTTCCTGAAAAGGATTGGGGTTATCTTTAAGAGGGAGTTCTTTGGAGATATATTTTAACCCCACCTCTGTCCATCCGCTTGGCGTGTTGACTTGCAGATCCCTCAGTTATCCAGTTTGTCGGCCAGTTTTATGAGCTTGGCTCTACAGCTTGATTTGGCTGCATTTGCTATTTGCAAACGCTTTCTTTCCTGTTTCTCCAGGGACTTATCGTCCGTCACCTCACGGACTAAGCCACAAACATCCGCTCCGAACAGTTCTCCACATCCTTGAATGTGGCATCCGTATCCTCAACGACATCGTGAAGAAGTGCGGCCATGAGAACCGGCTCATCTGTAATGCAAGCCTCCACGGACAGAATGGTGCTCACATTTATCACATGATTCACATAAGGCGTTTCCTTGGGGTCCTTAAAATATGGAAAAATCGGGAATACTTGTTACAATGCTTTGGGGTTTTCAAGTCTAAGTAAAGTTTACCTTGCGTCGCTGCTCACGGTGTTTAAAAGCCGCATACTGCAGGCATTCCATAAACTTGGCAGAGGGATAGGTAACCATTGTAAACCAGTTCAAGATTAATAATTAAGTTTTATTCACAATTCAGATTTCTTCACAAATTCAACCACTTGTTTACTATTTTAACAGAACAGCTGTTTTACCGGCAAGAATCGATAACAGATGACTTGTTGCAGCTTTACAACACTACCCCTGCAGCCCTGAACACCTATCGATAACTGAAGTACGCGCCAATTATTTAAATTCAAAAAACTTTATTTGACAATACACCGAGATTATCCTGTTTTTCATTCTGGTTCTCGCACTTGTTGCACTCCTGCTCCTTAGCCTTGCGCAAGGCTTTGGCGGCCTCCTCCGCCTCCTTTTTGGCCTGGGCCTCCAGTTCGGGATAAGAATATCTTGCGAGACTTAAGAGTTGACCACTTAAAACGCTTGATGTAGTAGGAGATGCCATCAGGAAGGCCGACATGAGCGTACCTTTATGAGCAGCAGGCGGCGCTCATCCGACTCCGGTTCCGAGGTCCACTTGAGGAAGACGCACACATCCTTGGCGATTTGGGCGGCCGAGGCAGCCACATTGGCATCCTCAAAGGTGACCACCTCGTTATCAACGGCTTGGGCCATGGCAATGGCTCCGCCAGAGAAATACGGATTGAAGTACAGGCCTTCGCGTAAAGCGAAACCAGCTGGAGGATCGCAGTACCCAGTGAGCAGGGCGAACACGTAATCCTCGCCACCCTTGCGAGCCGACACATATAGCTGAGATCCGGCGGATAGGAGCCATTGTTGGCCGAACGGGCTGCCTCCTCGTTGGCATAGGGAGATGGGAAATGATCGGACAGCTTGCCCGGACGCTCGAAGTACTCGCCCTCATCATTGGGGCCATCTCGCACGGTTATGGCCTCCGCCTCGGCCTTGGCCTCCGATTCCGTCATGCAAACGCCCACCAGGTTGCGATAGGCCATGTACTGCAAGGAGTGGCAGGAGGCACAGACCTCCTTGTAGACAAAGTATCCCCGGCGCACGCTCTCCTTGTCCAAGGCGGCCAGAAGTCCGGAGTGATTCCAGTGCTGACGCGGGGATGCACACAGTCCGAAGAGGCATCCACACTGGTTTCCAGGGCATAGATCAGAAGTCCGCCGCTCCAGTTAGGGCTCCCAAGGCCCCCATAACTTGGGACGAGCACGGAAAAGCCTCCACGCCCGGGAACCCATCCGCGAACGCACCGATGTCCTGTTGAAGCTGCTTCTGGCCAAATGGAAAACTTGCTGCTCAGATTCCGGAATTTGTTCGCCATATTGGGTCTGATTAGCTTGTTTTCTTTAAACGAATTATTTTTCCAATTAAAAATGTCAACGCAACCAGTGTTGGGAAACCTGTTGACTAGGGCTGTCACCACGTGGGGAATATTCAGGCGGAATTACACAAATCAAATTATCTAAGTACATTTAATATCAGTAAAGTTGTTCAGTTAGTCAAGTTTAATTATTTTTAATTATTTTTAAGACTTAAGTTAGCTAACTTTCAAACTAAAAGACAAACTAATATTTAGGAGGTGAAACAGCACTCTGAAAGCGCTTCGAAAGTCGTTAAACCATCGATACTCACCTAGGGCCAAATGTTAGACTTGCTCCTTTGATGGCAATTAATCATTATTACGAAGAAAATATGTAAATGTTTCGGAATTATTGAAATGTGTAAAAGTATAAGCTAGTCACAACAATTTTTATTTGACATTTCTTACAAAGCTTGCAAAAGCAGGGATCAAATTTCAAACTTGAGTTGGTACTTCAACTTGCACTGAAAATATCTCATAATCTTTAGACCAAAAGCATTAATTAGTTAAATTTTAAGTTGAATCGCTTATAAGAAAATAAATCTCTTGGAACATTTACGAAGCAGATTGCCTGGAATTAGAAGGCAGGATTGCCAGAAATCCCAGACCTGACTTTCTTCCAAATTAAGCCCAGATCAGTCAGATTCTTATCGGCGATCTTTCCCCATAAAGCATATGTAAACCAAAACCCACCCAAATTGCTGTTATTCTTCACAGCTAAAAGGTTGAGTCAACGTTTTTCTTTCTATTGTTGTAACGATCGCCTCCTTCTGGGGTTTCTTTCCTGCCCAACGAGCGGAGCAACTGAAAAAAACCGAAAAAAAACAAATGCCAGGGCACTTTCATTTGTTATCTGGCGCAGTAATCTGTAAATCTGTAACAGCCCACCAAACAACGGTGCATACAATATTTCCTAGCCATTCTTCACACTGTGTGACCACGAAATCGTCAAAGTCAGGCCCAAGCCAGCTTTTACAACAGCCAAGGAGAATGGGCGTGGACTTGAAAAATGTAAGGGGGGTCAGAATAAAGGTAAGGTCTTTCGGTTAGCTAAAAAGTTTAAGGAAATATTAAGCACAAAAAATAATATAATAAAATAATTATACCCCAAAATACTATATTATAATTTTACAAATAATAGATCTAGTAGGATCGTTAAAAAAAATAGTTTAGTACTCTCTCTGCTTTTTTAGTTTTTATTTTTAAAACATGTTTGTTTCAATAAAATAGCTTCATCAAATTGATTGCTCTCCAAATAAAGCCCAGTTAACAGAAAAATAATTATTTACTAATTTAGTTCATAATACTAGTTGTGCCCTAACCAAAATTTTTTTTTATTATTAAAGAAATACCATAAAAGAAAAACCTCGAACTGTAGCAGTTATGGGGGAATCCCCTTTGCTACGCCCATGTCGATCAATAATGACAATGCAACGTCCGACGTTGGCAGAGCGATGTAAACTCTTTTTTTTCTGTTTTTGGTGAAAATTTGTACCTGATTTTATATTTCCCTTTTTTGTGTTACACTGTTTCTGTAGCTCTTGGTCTTTTTTCAGTTATTACGTATTTTCCATGTTTACCATATTTTACACGCGCTTACAGACACACAGATACAACAACAACAAAAACAGATACGGATACAGATACATTTACCCCCGGATTTTCCCTATGTGCGTTTTTAGAGTTCTGCTTCTGCGCAGCGATGCATAATTCCCACTTTTTGAAATTTGTGTGCGGTGGTTGTTGTTGTTGTTGTTGTTGTCTTCTGCGGTGGTGGCTGTAATGTTGTTTTTGTTGTTCCCGTTGCCGCTGCGCAATTAATAATTCTTTTCGACTGGCGTGAAATTTTCATAAAGCAAGAAAAAGCAACAAGCTGCAAAAGCAACAGCAACCGCACCAACTTTCCATGAAAATCTCCAGCCATTAGTAGCAATCTCGACGCTTTTCACCGTGGAAAACCGCAGAGATTGTGCTGCGACCCCATAGAAATGGGCTCACGTCATGAATTTTATTCAAATTACAAACTCATTAATAAATGGCGTTGTTTACTTTTATGTAAAAAACAAACCTGCAGTGATTTCTCAATTTTGGGCAGTAATGGGGCAGAAAAAATTCAGAAATATCCTAATATTATCACTAAACATTTCTAGTCTACACCCATTTTTAAACTAAGTTTTTAAAGATTAAAAAAAGCAGATATAGGAAAATAATATTAAAAAATTTTTTTTTTTTTTTATATTTTTAATTCAGTACAACAGCTCTTTATCCTTATATTTTCTAATATTTATTACTATTGCAAATATACCAAAATTGTCTAAATATCTTACCGACTTCAGTGTAAATACAAGATCCAGCTCTTTCCAAATCAGATATAAAATGCAAGAGCTAGAGATATGACTTATCAACTGAATAATTATTCGTGAAAAAGATGGGCCTGCAAATAAAAATACCTGAATACGGAACAAAAAAGTGTGCATAATTTAGCAATAAATGTAAATATTACTGGTCCGCTTCCTTTGGGAGACAAAGCGCCATGCTGCTGCAGTTTCCTGTGGCCTCTTCTCTTCGCCCAGAAAGATCATGATGATGATGATGATGATGATGATCGTGTGGCCAGAGGATTGTAATAACGATGAGGCTGTGCTGGCCATGTCCCACTCCTTATCTTGGCAGCACGAAAACCAGAAACAAGAATTATAGACCAAAAGCCAGTTGCAATGCGAGTGCATCTTGCATCTTTGCCACCGATCCCACGTAGCTGTGTGTGTGTGTGTGTGTGTGAGTGCGGGGGCACTGCATCGGTGTGTGTTGGCCAGAGTATCTGTGTGAGTTGCGCCTTTGGCCAGAAGTGAATGCAAGTTGCATCTGCCGCAGTGCTGGTCAACGCTCCAAAGCCAGGAAATCAAAGCCAGGAAGAACGGAAACCATTAATTTAATTATATAGTTTAATTTAACTTAAGAAAATAAATAATGTATGCAGAAAGAAAATGTTTAAGATGTTTTTTAATGGACTACGTTTACGGAAACTTTTTGATAAATTTTTTTTTAAAAATTACTCCAATCGTTTTAATTAGGCATAATGTAAACACATTTGTTTTATTGTTGTTGCTAACGAGCTAATTGTTATTTCATAATTTTTGCATCCATATCTTAGTTATAAACACCTAGTCATCTTTTGGAATAATAAGTCACTATTTATCATAAAAAACACGTTATAAATTCGGTTTTACATTTACAACTAATTTAATATTCACTAGATGAACCACTTTATTTTATGACGTATCTGAAAGATCGTTTTAACGCGTGCGCAGCTACTGTTGGTACGCGTACGAAAATCGCATGCGAGAGAGAATATCCCAGTGAGTCGCTTTCGTATCTTTGAGATTCTCATTCTCGTTGCCCATTTACCGCTCAATTTCGCAAAAACAAAAAAAGCTATGCTCCCCTATATACAACAACATCACGATTTGTGAGCGTGTATGGGTGAGTGTATCTGTGTTTTGCGGCGATTGAGATTGTGTGTTTATGTGTAGCATGCGGTTTTGCTTTGGATTTTTATAAACTTTTTCGCAGTTTTCAGTCACCAAGAGTGAAGAGACATGGCCAATCTTCAGGAGAAAGATACACACAGTAGATGGATACAAAATGGGGAGAAAGAGGTATAAGGGAGAGGAAGAGAACCAGAGAAGAGCCAACTTCATTATGAGGTTGTAACTGTCTTTTCAATTTCTCGTTCTGCCCGATTCGCTTTGCCAAATGGAGCCTAGAAGATGGATCTCTGTCTCCTCTCGATTCTCCTCTTGATTCTTCTTCTCCTTTCTTAAGCTCTCTTCTCGCCCCCCCTCACTCACACACACACACTCGCGGCAATTGACGGCTTTGCGTGTGTGTGTCCGTTGATGTTGATGAGTTTTGTTTTAATTCTGCTTCTTGACTTCAATTTCTTATAAAGATTGTTTATATGCACGTAATACAGTGAGCATCGCTAAATTAAACCCTAAAAGTAGTTTATGAAACACAAATTTTTGTATAACGCCTCATTTATTAAATTTAATGTAAATGTTTTTAGTTATTTTAGTTAAATTTTAATATTCAAAGAATTACAAATTAATTCCATAATTGTAATTTAAAAATCCACTACGCCCAAGCAAGAAATAAAAAAAGACTAAATTGTAAACAATTAGGCGTTAAACCCATTCTAAAAAATTTAAGCGATATTTCAAACGCATTTAAGTTCAACTTGAACTATAGAATATAGACTGTAGTTGGCCCCCGTATCTATAAGCGCTTGCTGTGTATGTAAATGTATCTGTATCCGGCAGTGGCGTAAACATTTTGGGTCTTAACTCAAGCAATAATTAGTTCAATCACAATTTTTTAAATAGAGCTCCTTTTCGTATTTAAAATATCTAGCGCAAAGAAATTTCTTTAAAATCCCCCCTAAAGCTCCCCTTTCAATAAACGCTCCTGAGTATCTGCATCTGTATCCGTATCTGTGAGATGCAGGCCACACTGTCTTTGTTGTTGCTGTGATTTGGTGAATCGCGCGTAGCCGATTGTAATTATTGTAATCGAGTCTCGAACCGATCCAATCCGATACGATATGATCGCAATAGCGAACAGCCATTCTCCGAGTTGACTTGGGGTTGTGTTGAGTCGAGTTGAGAAGATCAGGCCGCTATAGCGATAGCCAAAGCCATAACCATCGTCCATCGTCTTCGCCTGATTTGATTCTGTTTTAGCTGTTTTAGCTTTGATCATTTCGTAATAGTTTTCTCAGTGCTCTGCTTAAATCATCTTGACCAAGACCGATCTGGACGATCTTACAGATTCAGATCCAACCAATCCGCAGCTCGTGATCGTTTCGCTTGAGCCGAGCCCGCGCTTTTCTCTTTGAAGCCAACGTCATCGACAGTCCCAGTCATACAACATACTACCAGTCATCATTGTTGTTGCTATAGTTGTCTTGGCCGTTGCTTTTTACTAAAAGTTGATTGACTGTCTGTTCATTTAGCCGCTTGTCCATGGCTCGCTCCGTTTGTTGGCTTTGTGCTCTCAGTGCTGCATAGAGAAAAAAATCTAAGTCTAAGGTTTACTCACTTGAAATATTTTTCTAGTAATTAATATCCTATCAGAAGTACTTGAAAAAAAAACTTGCCATAAAACACATAAACTAATATTAAACTTTAGTTACATCATTTTTATGACCAATAAACGAATCGTTTCAGAATTGTTAGATCTAAATTTTCTAGTTTAAAATCCTACAACGTCATTAAACCCATAAACTATAGATTTTATGACATTTTATGTGAGATATTTATTATAAGATTGGAAACAGAAAGAATTATGTAAAATAAAACAATGTTTATGTATTAAAAAAACGAAAAGTGAGAAAAAATGAGTTCTTAAACGAAAATAAAGTAAGTATTTACTAGATCTTAAATATATACATATCGACAATGTTTCAGTTTAAAGTATATCTAAGCCCTGTGCAGATAAACTGATGTACCTCATTTTAAAAATATTTAGATTCAAATTACTAACACTATTCTATTATATTTCTGTATATTTTTCTCAGTGCATTTTCGTTACCCCCCACCCGTTCCAAGCTTCGGTTGCGGCTTCTCTTGCACATTTCGTTTTAGGCCATTATAGTTTTGAACATGTTCAAGTGCCATTCTCACGATTGTTTATAGTCTTTTAATTTCAGTTGGAGCACAAGAAATAAACAGTGAAATTTAGCAGCAGGCGATTTAAGTTGTTCCTAGGCCTAATGTTCTGGAAACGAAACGAAACCAAGTCAGACCCAAGTCGAATCTCGGTTTCGGGTGCAGTTTCGGTTTACAGCTGAGGCTTATGCTCCAACTCCAACTCCAACTCCAACTCCTATCTCCATCTGAAGAACCAGCTGAATCCCCAGCAGAATACCCAACTCCAGCTGGCAGCGGTGAAAGGCCTCAAGTGGTCAATAAGTACCAGGGAGCTCGACGGTCCTCGGTCGTCAGTTTTCGGTCTTCAGTCCAGAATTCGAGTACTCCGAAATGTTTGCCTATTAAACAGTCATCAATGATTGTTACATTCTACAAATAGAAAATGGTGGAGCCATCCAACTGGCGGGACGGAGAATGTTTGGAGAACCGAAAGAGATCAATCCGACGACGATCGTTTGCCAGATTTATGAGTCATGAACCGCAGAACGACTTAAGCGATCAATAAGATATTTGGAAAACTAGCGCAAACTATTATTGAGAGATAATTCTAGTGTGTAAGGCTTTAACGATCGATTCGTGAATTACTTGGCCATCAGCAAGATATTGATCTTTAATCTAATGAACTGCGGATCTTTTTTACGGCACTATGATTAAAGGTGGGGCTTACATACGGGAAGCAGATCAAATAAATTGCTACTAGTTAAAATTGATATACCAACATCTATTTTATTAATTTTTTTTTGCAAGAGCACCTGAAGATTATTAAAGTAAAATAAACAAATATTGATCTTAAGTTCAACAGCACCTAGTAAATGCTAAATATTATTTTACTGAAGCCCAAGCCAAGTCATTGTTATTTGTGCACTCGAAATTCCATCAATTAAGCAGCCGTCGATCGCTGAAAAATCATTCCCAAACAGGCATCTCGATCGGTCGATCGTTAATTAACTCCCATCGAACTGCCACCAAATTGACATTCCCAGTCCGAGAGTTTACCATTTACCATTTCCACGGCGGACGTCCCAGCGCTTTTGTCCATCGCATTTGGGCTCCAGATCGTGGGTATCACGATCATCTTGGGCAATTTTCGCGCATGGAACTTTCAACTCCAAAATGGACTGACAATTGATTTGTGCCACAGCCAGAAAGCAAAAAAAAAAAAAAAGGAAAAGAAAAAGAAAAACAAAGCCTGGCTGCAATTTAAATTAAAAGCGCAATTGAACTGGAAAATTCGTCTAAATTGTTTTCACAATTACCCACACACGGCAACCTGAGAAGACGCAGGGTGACAGCCGGGGGAAAGCGAAGAGTTCAAGAGTTTTTCCACCATTTCCCCCAACTCCATCTCCATCTCCATTTCCATTTCCACCATGGTCACAATCAAATCCAATCCTCGGCAATCGCAGCTCTAACAACATCATGCAATAGAGCCGGGGCACAATACATAAAAATTTCAAAACTAATGATGCCGAGTAGGAGAGCCTGAAAAAATACGAAAAAAAACGAGCTGCTTTCGTTCACAATTTATGCATGAGAAGAAAGATCTTTGGCAGAAGAAATGGTCCGTTTTTTGTGGGAGTAGAGTTGAGTCGAGTTCTTTTCTTTTCTGTTCGGTTCTGTTCTGCACACACTCACTCTTATTTTGGCTTGGCTTGATCCTTTTTTTTTTCGCTACGAGCTGCTCTGTCTTCGATGATAAAGATCGGAAAAGCCCGAAGTTTAGAAAGGCAATAGCAAGAGCAGCATCCGAGCGGTGTATCTATGTATCTGCAATACATAAATTGTATGTATCTATATCTATACGGTCTACAATGTATCTCTTTTTGGAGCCAGTGCTTGTGTGTGTATATCTATGTAATGAGCATGTAACTAAACTTCTGTGTAGCCAAAACTCCTACAACAGAGACAAAAACAAAAAGCCCAGACCCACTAGAAGTACCAGCTCTATAGCTCTGTAAGCTCTGTAAACTCTGTGGAACTCTGGAGCTGTGCAACTCCCTCAATACCCGTTTGCCTTTGCCACAACTTCAATTCAACTGAACTGTACTGGCTGCTCTTCGGGGCTCTCAGTCCTCAGTCCACAGTCCTCGGTCTCCAGTTTTCAGTTTTCAGTTTTTCTGGCCGTGCTCTATCTGATGATGGCCGTTAACGTTAAAAGTTAAGGCCTGAAGAGCGCCCGACCCGACCTGCTGCCCTGTCTTCCCCCCTCAAGACCCCGTTCTTCCCGGCTCCCTGTTCCCGATTCTTCTGCCAGTGACTCGTAAACATGAGCTACGTTCTTGCCCCATTCCCCTTTCTTTTCAGCCGGGTTTTGTCTTTTCCCCCGCCGCGACTTGACTTCATTTGTTTGGCTTTTTTGGGAGACAAAACTGGTTATTGCTCTCGCCTTTTCTTCGGCTTGGTTACTCGATGTGTTTGGGTTTTTTGTCGTTTCTTTTCTTTTTTTGGCTTTTTTCGGTTAGGTGAGCGGTGGTCTCTCCACCGTTCTTCGTATATTTCTTCGGTTTTTCGGGGCCCCAGTGGCGTACATGTATGCAAAGGGGACCCGCCAACAGCTACCACATACAGGGGGTATTTCTTAAAAATAAACTGTTAGTAATAGCTTGAAACTAAAATATATCTAACAAACAAAATATTTTTAACCAATTAAGGAACATGTCACTTTATAAAAAGTTTTTAACTTTGGTGGGTTGAAAGTACTTAGCGATTTCAAATAGAATTATGTATCTTTTGAAGATATTTCAGCAAACTTATCTTTATTACTACACCTTTTGAGTGCTTTAAATGTAATAGTTTCATAAAACATATAAAGATGATCATAACATTTTTATAAAAGAGTATAGTAACGAGGTTAAACCATTATAATAACTACTTGTATTTATAGTACGTGACTCTTTTCTAACATAAGATCCTAAAAACAGGATATCCTTTATAAATGAGAAAGATAGGTTATGATAATGACTTTCCTAATGGCTTTTCTTCCTAGCCAATGGCCACTGTAGTCAGCGATTCAAGCGGGGCACCGAACCAAACGACAACCAAATCTCGGTGGTGCAGCTTCTAAGTGGAGGCTTGGTGGGCAGCGTGCAGCAACAAGTAGGAAGTGGGCGCTTGGCAAAGGCTTGGCCTGGACTTGGTCTAAAACCGAGATCGAGACTGGTCACCTCCTCCTCCTCCAGCATCCTCCATGCTCCCCCCTGCGTCCTCCTCTTCCACCAGCCGTTGGGCAACTTTTTTCCGCGCAACTCCTTTGTTACATTTTGCGAGCGAGCTAGAGGTAAACGATCGTTAGAAAGGTTTTATATGAAGCCATGGCTTCAGATTTGCGCTCACGTCTATTTATTGGACTTGCAGTTGCTGGAGCCAAACTGAAAAGCCGTAGCCATAGCTGAATCTGAAGTTGGGCTTGATCTGTGTGTGCTGAAGCTATCGTTTCTGCAGAGAGAATAAATTCATTGGAAGCTGTAAGTGCTTTGAATATTATATAAAAGTTTCTTTTAAAAAATAAACTATTAAAAACTACTTTAAACTCTGAAATCATATAGTCAGCATATTGTTTTTTACCAACCCCTTGGTACACCCTAAGTATCCCATAATAACCCATATACCATATTGCAGTGTGCATATCTTCTCTGTATGATTTATTATTATCAGAACTTTTCTTGTATTTATGTTATTAAGTCATGATGCTAAAGTACCATTAATATTTTAATAATACCTTTAGAACTGACCATTTTTTTTGGTGCATGGTCATGTTACCACCGCCTGTCGTTTAAGATGGCTCTTGGCTGGCTGTTTGTTTTGTTTTGGCCTGCACAGTTTTTTATCCATTTTGGTGGCCTGTCCTCCATCCTCCAAGCTCCATCCTCCATCCTCCATCCTCCAAACTCGGAGCTCCCGACTCCTGGCTCCCAGCACCCAGCACCCAACTCCCAACTCCCTGCCCCATCCTCAAAAGTCCATCCAGCCTCAACTTCAATGGAAGTAGAAGTGGCATGAAATGCTGTTAACCTCGTTTGAACTTTGCCATTTGTTTGAGCCATTGGATAGGCCGATCTTTCTTCTTAGCAATGTTTTTTTATTTTTACGTATTTCTTTCAGCGCTCCTCTCTCTGTTTTTGGACTGTTTAGACAGGCCGGCCAAGCAATTTAAATATATTGCAAACAAAAGGAGTGTATGTAATTTAATGTGAGTGGACGTTGGACGTCGGACGTGGACGTGGATGGGGCCTAGAAATGGGATTGGAATGGTTTTGGCTTTGGTTTGGTTTGGTTTGGTTTGGCCTGGGCTGGCATGGGGGTTGGATGATGGGATGGGGATGGGGATGGGGACCATGGACCGTGGCAGTTGGGCAATGGCTAAAAAACACAACTGACATTTGCAACACGAGAGATACGGGTCCGGGCACCAGCTGGAGATTGCCCAGGTCAGCCCGAGCCAATCCTCCTCCGCACCTCTGCGTCGATAACCCAAGAAAACCCCTCGAAGGCCCCTCAAAACACCTCTGTCAATGCAACTCCTGCCTACACACCTCGAAATTTTCGCAATGACAAGTAGCCCAGGCGTGTGTGATTTTTTGTAATCTACAAAAAGAGCTGGTGTTGCTCCGAGCTGGTCTTCCACTAAGGCTGGGCTTTGAACTGGGTTAGAGCAACTGTGGGAAGAACAGAGCGTTTAATTGGGCCAGCGAAAGATTGGGGGAGGGAGTTACCATACACGGGAAACAAAAGAATTAAAACGATTTATAAAAAAATAATAGTAATCACTACTGAATTAACATGTACCAAATGAGTTTTTTTTGTGGGATTTTTAAACTTTTACAAGTTTGGGTACCCAAATGTATAAAAAATTCAGATATATTATAGAGATGCATAATATATTTCATTAAATTGACATATTCGCTGGTTGTACCTCTCTCCTAAAGAGCAAAAATATAAACTGGTTTTTTAAGCGATTTAAAAATGGAAATGTATTTATTTGGTAAAATAACATCAAACCCATGTTTTTCCGCAGTGCACAGTAAGTATTCAAGAGCAGCGACCATAAAGACGTTCCTGGTTGTCAGATGAACCGAGATTAGTTTATGTTTTTGGGGGGGAAACGTTGGTGAACAAACGGTAGCGGATGACCTGATCCAAGACCATTACCATTACTAGGCCGGTTTTAGCCCGCTTCAAGCCCAACCAATTAGCACTATCTAAAGTGGAGTGGTGAGCTGGGTTTCCCCTGGGTTTTATGGGAAATGGGGGACACTTTATGTCCCCACAAAGAGATATACGTAGGTATGATTGTAAAAAATACGCCCACGCAATCGACAATTAAAGACACGTCGCCGAATTTCAATTACAGGAAGCGGAAAATGAATGAAAATACGCGTATGGAAATGCAAGTTCTGCAAATTTCATTGAGCACGCAGAAAACTGTGTCACCTTGACGGTAAGACAGAATACGATTGGGAGACAACAAAAAATAAGGTAATATAAAAAGTACGACTTCCCGCTACTACTTCATATATATAATGAAGAAGAAGCAGAAGAAGGGCGAGCAACAGCTGCGCAAGCGCTTTATGAAGAGGGTGGAAAAGTAAGGGAGGGGAAAGCTAAGACAGACAACAACCCTTATTGGTTTTTGGCAAAGGCATTGACACACCGAAATAAAAGGAAACAGCAGAAATTCCAATTGCGCATGTCTGTGTGCTGTACATTATTTACAACACAGAAAGAAACGGGGCTTGTTGAGAAAATATTTTTTTATTTTTTTAAGTTATTTATTTATGTGAAATACAGTACTGAAGTTTTGTATCTGTTAATAATGTATGGAAATAGCTTAAATAATTTTTAATATTTAATTTTTTTTTTTCTGTGCACCCTAACAACATTTGTTTGTCTGGAAAACCTTTCCACTACTCTTCCAGTCCTCAAGAAACCACCCCAAGGAGAAGAAGAAGAAGCAGAAGAAGAGGGAGCAAAAAAGGTGCGATCTCTCTCTCTCTCTCTCTGTCGAAGAGTCGACGGCCGATGTAATTATTTTAATAATTTTTTCACTGCGTCATCATTATTTCTCTCTGCCTTTGATATATAATTCTTCTTTGTATCATTTGCACACACGATTGCACACATACAAAGGGCGGGAGAGAGGGGCAGAGAAATTCACGCTCAGCAATAAATGTGTGTAGATGTGTGCGTTGTGATCGCGAGAGAGCAAAGCCGCTCGCTGCTCGAAATGAGCCGAGGTATAAAAGCGGAAGAGCGTCACTCGCGGAGCAATTGTTTTTCCTGCGCCGTTCGCCGTTCGGCGCCGCGTTTTTGAGCTCCCTAAAGAAAGAAAGGAAAAAGCGGAGCTAGAATTTTTTGAGAAAGATGCCATAAACAAATATGTAGTTTAAAGTAAAGTATTTAACGCGTGTTTTCTGCGGTGGTGTGGGAGTACGCCTGCTAACTCAAATTGCCGTTGATTGCAAGCCTAGCTCACCCACACACACGCACGCTCTATCGCACACACTCGAGACTCTGCTTTACCGATAAAAAAAAAGAAGAAAAAAAAACGAAACGAAAAGCGAACAAACGGATGCATGCAGCATTTACAGTTGAGTTCAAATGTGCCGTCTAATTAGAAATGATTTAATTTCAATAGCGATTTAATAAAAACGAATTTGCGAAACGAAGCGACGCCGCGTGTGTATTTCGTATGTACATGTGTGTACATGCATGTGCCTGTGTGTAATTCGCCATACTTCTTCAATTCAAAGAACAGACAGAAGAAGAACACAACAAGACATACTTGAGAAATAAAAGCAACAGCAGCAACAACTACAACTATTGCTATCAACTTGAGCCATCAGCGCAGGCTCTGGCTCTCTCGCTCTTTCTCTCTCTCCCGCTCTTTGCCGTGTTGCTGTGCGCGTGTGTAAGCTTCGCTTGGTTAGTGTATGGGTATGTATATAAGCGGGTGAACGAAAAAAAAAATACATATGTATGTATATATTACGCTCAATTTTCCCTATATTTTTTGCGCCTGCCAATAAGCGGTTCTTTGCCGGAGTTGCCACATTGCCGCGCAGATCGTGGAATTTTTAATTGGAATTGGGAAAGATTCGTTGCGTACTCATGCATGTGTGTGTATGTGTGTGCGTGTGTGTAGAGTAGAACTGATAAGACGCAGAGAAAGCAGAAAAGAGACGCCGCTTATCAACGCCACAAAAAATAGAAGAAAAAAACGAACGAACTAAATGGGTCGAGCACATTGTCGTGTATTGTTTTTGCACTATCGCTTAATAATTGAAATTAAAGCGGAGGCGAGGAAAAAAAAAATGGAGAAGGCAAAAATCCCACTATACTGGAATTGAAATTGGACTTGGAATTCATACTACTGTTTTTAGTGGGTGGGGGTCCAGTGTTTCACATTGATTTTCTTAGTATTTGTGACTAGATCCACACTCATTAATAACGGTAGTTCAATCATCAAGCACGTGTTTTCGGGATACTTAGCTATGTACTCATGTCACTACTTCCTCTGGAAAGAAAAGGGACAAACAGGTGGTGTTCCTAAAAAAGAAACAAAAATACAACAAGGTAATTAGTCAACGTCTCGCACGCACACAACGTCATTCAGACAGAACGACAGAACCAAAAAAAAAAAAAGTAAGGAAAAGAGCACCTGTTCGAGTGCCCAAAAGAGAGGGAAAGAGAACAAAGGGAAGAGCGATAGCGGAAGAGCGACTTGATTGCAGGCCCGAAATTAAAATTAAAATTAATGCTAATTCAGACCATTTTCGGGCCCTGAAAACGATCCCCCAAATTCAAAATTAATTGTACCCAGACTGGGAAAGAAGTGGGAAAATTGTTAGCCTAACAACAAAGGTTAAAAGTTCAGCCACTGTGTTGCCAGCTGACTCACAGAGTTCTCTATGTACAGTTGTGGTCGAAATAGTAGTGCTTTTGCTCTTAACTTGAAAGCAATTCCAAAAAAATTAAAATGAATTATGTACTGTGTCTTAAAAAATATGAAGAATGTGAATTTCGAATGATTTATACAATTAATTACTTACTGTAAATATACATCCAAAGATATGCCCTTAAATATAAATTCAAAGATATGATCTTTAACTATTATTTTAAATCAAAAAAGTACTGAGAAAACTGTTTTAAAATTCCTATATTTTTAAAATACCCACTACTATTTATACCCCGCTACTGTGTGTTTTTTCTGTATTCCCATAGTTCCGCCTCCCTAACTGCTTTGACTTGTTCTTCTCTGGTTTCTACCGGAACAAATTGCTGAAATACTAAATTCCGAGAAGACACCGCTGTCGCATAGTTCAGTTTTATAGTTTTATATACACCCCCGACTTGACAAACAAACAATAATTTCCGTTGAAGTCGAATCTGAGCTTCACTGTCACCATATGTATCGGATTTTATCCAACTTTGTGCTCCGTTTTTTGTGCTCCGATCAGCAGAAATTCAAACTGCAACGTCGCCACAATTCTTAAACAATTCTGAAAGACGACGACGATTCTGTTTCTGATTCCGATTCTGATTCTGTCGGCTTTTCGTCAGAGAAGAATCATGGGGTTGGCCAGCCAGTTGATATACATATATATTATTATTGTATAAATCAGCAGAAAAAACAGCAAACAGCGGACGGGCGAACAAAAAATAATAAACCTTAATTCGAAGCTCGGAGCTTGATTCATTCATATTACCCGGGGGATCTGAAAAAAGGGGAGGCGAAGGGACTGACTGACTGACTGCTGACTGACCACCCAATTGAGCTATGAAAACCGATCAAACCCGATCGCAATTGTTGCCAGGCACGAGAGCAATGACATGGCATGCAAAGCCAGCTAAGCAGCTGGAAAACTAAGCTAAAACGCCAAAGCCGAACTGGAAAAGCAAAAACCAAACCCAATCACCAATCAAACCAACCAAAAATGCCACAGAAAGTCGTGCAGTGGCAATAATCATCGTCATCATCATCATTCGAAAGGAAGGATGCGGATGCGGATGCTCTTTTCTGACTCTATTTTGTCGGCGAACATGGATCTAGTGCACGGTGGTTCATGATTAAGTTCGTGACTAGATTTCATGCTCGTCTATTAAGTTGGGTCAGCACAACGAAGAGAGTTTTCCAACCCACACCCCCTTTGGGGAGGGGGGAGTTTTCCAGCCCCCTTCCCTCCCCTCTGGCTGAGTGGCCAATTAGCCAACGCATTAATTATGGGAAAAGTATATTTGCCTGATTGACCCGTGACCCACATGCAGTGACTGGCGGCACACGCCCCGCAGAAATATGTGACTGCCGAAATGAGGGCGTGTTGTGGAAATAAATGTAGAATAAAAATAAAACGAGTCAATGGCCTGCTGTCCCGCATGCTGTGGCGTAAAACTTGGGAGAAAAAAAAGCAGTAGCCTTGCCGATTTGTGCTCCTTTATCTGGCAAACGGAGTGACTGCCCTGCCAAACGGTCGCAGAATGTGGCAAGCCGAAAACCCGTGACACCGCCAACGGTCCACCAATTTATGGTGGTGACACGCGATTAAAAATCGAATCCAAAAGGGGCCCCTACAGAAGCAGGAAACAGAAACCGAACCCAGGGAACTGCAACGCCAATAGATTTCCGTGTGAAAAACTGCGAGGGTTGTTGTTGCTGGTGTGGCGCCTGCGGGTAAGTAACGGCTTTTTACCCGCCTTTTGTCACATGGTGAGAAAAAAAATAAACAAAATATCAGTTGGATAATGACTTTTAAAAGTTAACATACCATATAAGGGCATGTCTGAAATGCTTTACCAAGAATGCAAAACATAAAACATTTGAATTTTTTGTAATAAAAGATCTATGCAATTTAACTAACTCATGTCTTGATAAAGAAAGTAACATCTATCCTTTGTACTATAAACTACAAAGTTATAATATCACTATTTTCATTTACATTTTATTAAATCCAAAAATTCTATTAATGCTTTGAAGCTCTTTAAAATGGTTACCATTGTTTAATTTATATAACGGATGACTTTACATTTAAATTTATAGTTAAAATAAAATACAAGGATATAAGCTTAGTAGAAATACTTTAAAATAATCCATAGATCTTGTAGATTTTTGTAAATGCACTGGTAAGCACCCTAACATGTTTGGTAATTTGCCAAGATGTTTTTCCTGTGCACTCGTTGCCAACGACAACAACACGACACACTGTTGCGTGGGCGTTTGAGTGTAACTGTAACACCTGCTGCTGCCGCTATTAACACAACATTTCTCTGCTCTCCAATTTTAATTTCAGCCCAAAGGAATGAAGCCGGAACACCTTTCAACCCTGCGAGCCATTGTTATTATTATGGCTGCCATATAGCTAGCTACTTACTACTTACTACCTACTATATAGGCATGGCTACAGCTACTCCTCCCACACGATCGCATTCGCATTTGCTTCACGCTCATTTAAATGCCAACGCACCGGGGGAAAAGGAAAGGAGGGCAAGGAAAGGAGAGCTCGGCGATCTAACAAAACATTGGCTGCTCGGCTGGCTTATTTGCATATTTTCTAAATGAATGTGGTGGCTACAGTTTGCAACCCCAGCGGTGGCAAAGCCAAGAAGCGCATTCAGTTGCAACGGCGGCGGCAGCTGGCTTTCCCTGCACTGGATTTCCACTTCCTCCCGGCCGAAGCAGCAACATCAGCAATCAGGAACAGCAGCAGCAGCAGCAGCAAGAAGCCGTCAAACGCCGCAACTAATTGATATAATAGTTAAAATAACAAACTAACGAGAAAGAGGTTGTCGTCGGGCGAACGCGCGGCGTTGGTGAAGTGCAAAACCTTTCCAATTTGAAAATAGTTTTCCTGCTATGTGTGCTCGTTCCCACAAGCAGCAATACCACCATACCACCACCAGTAGATGCAGCCAGCAAGCAGCAACAACTGCAACATCGGTTCAGAACAAGCACAAAACAGCAAAAGCCTGCACTTTGCCAAGAGGTGATTGGGAAAAGGGGCTCGAGCTGGGGAAGATGACAATGCAGCGATTAGAGCAATGCAGAACTTGAACTCTACAACTCCATGGCGGCATCATCATCGTCATCGTCATCATCATCTTCATTGGCGGCAGCTGGAAAAATGTTTACCTCAATCCCCGGAGTCATAGTTGCTGTCCCAATGCGCGGCATTTCCGTTCTGAGAAGAAGAGGATGCAGCCGAGGCTCTGGATCGGATCGATTCGCTGCTGATGCATTTTGCAAGGGGCAAAGTAGTAATCATGTTTATTACATCTAAATCTAAATAAAGTACTTGTAATGTGTTTCATCGAAAGCGGCGGTTTTTGATTTTGGTTTGGGTACAGGCGAAAAATATAACTATTAGCTACTGCTAATTCCAGTTTCTAAAAAACTTTAATATTGATCTCTTTGAAAAGGCCTAGAAAGTTCTTTATTGTAAGTCGAAAAGCATTCTTAAGAATAAGTTGATAACAAAACAAGTTTCGAAAATCGAATCAAGCGCGTAATAGTAATGGGCCAATAGTGTCAATTAGATTTTTAAGTTTTTTTTTGGGATGAAGACGACGTTTAAGTTAAGAATCGGAAGACACTTCTTGTTGAAAAAACCTTTTTCTGAAATCCGTTTCTTTAACGTGGAATTTTTTTTATTTTATTTGATACTGTCCAAACGTGGGTTTTTCGTCCATGGCAAGCAGCGGTGAAATGCGGTGACATTAAGATGTAAGCGCAGATACATTTTATTTATTATCCAAAAAACAGTTGAAGCATTTTAATATATATTTATTTTATTATTTTAAAAGCCGATATATCGACGAAACTTCGATGACTCTTGTTTGCATCTCATCTTGAAATATCGATACAAAATTAGCATATTTATATCGATAGTTAGTAAGTACATCAACCATGTACAGCAGATACACCCTCCACAATAGCCAATAACCCACCTATCGATAAACAATCGATATATACATTTATTTTTATTCAAAATATCGGTATTTGAAATATTTCCCCATCCCTAATTCAGGCAAGTGGGATGTTTGTCTCCTTCTACGTTGGTGCTATCTCCCTCTTTTTTGTCACTACGTTTGCTGACACTTACGTTTTCTGGCACTTCCGTGACAGCGACTCAAAAAATAACGATATATCGGGTGAAAAAAATATTACGATGTAAATATTTATTTTTATTCCAAAAATACCGATATATTGACATTTTTCACATCCGTCCTTCTCTTCTTCGTTTCCGGTGAGTGCGTGTGCTCCGCGTTTTTCGCTGAATTTGCCACTATATTATTTAATATCGTATTTGCAGGCAGACGACTTAAAAGGCGAATCCACCATGGTGCAAGGAGTACGTAAACCCATGAGCAGTGGACATTTGCCAATCGTGGCCCTGGGCCATGTGAATTTGCGAATTTGCCAATGCCGGGTGGGTGCCACGACATATGCTAATCTACCTTTTCTGTCATTTGCAGACTCTGTACACTTATCCCGAGAACTTCCGGGCCTACAAGGCACTGATTGCGGCTCAGTACTCCGGAGCCCAGGTGAAAGTGGCCGACAACTTCAAGTTTGGCGAGACCAACAAGTCGGCTGAGTTCCTCAAGAAGTTCCCCGGTGGCAAGGTGAGTTGCTCATCTTGGGTGTGGTTAATGCCAGGTCATCATCAATATGTTTGTGCGTTATGATCCTGATCATTAGGTGCCCGCTTTTGAGACTGCCGAAGGCCAGTTCCTGAGCGAGTCCAATGCCATCGCTACTTGCTGGCCAACGAGCAGCTGCGCGGTGGAAAGTGCCCCTTCGTCCAGGCCCAGGTCCAGCAATGGATCTCCTTCGCCGACAACGAGATTGTGCCTGCCTCCTGTGCCTGGGTCTTCCCACTGCTGGGCATCCTGCCACAGCAGAAGAACAGCACTGCTCAGCAGGAAGCCGAGGCTGTGCTGCAGCAGCTCAACCAGAAGCTGCAGGACTCCACCTTCCTCGCCGGTGAGAGGATCACCTTGGCCGACATTGTGGTCTTCAGCAGCCTCCTCCACCTGTACGAATACGTCCTGGAGCCCAGTGTACGCAGTGCCTTTGGCAACGTGAACCGCTGGTTCGTCACCATTCTCAACCAGAAGCAGGTCCAGGCCGTCGTCAAGGACTACAAGCTGTGCGAGAAGGCCTGGTCTTCGATCCCAAGAAGTACGCCGAATTCCAGGCCAAGACTGGTGCCGGCAAGCCCCAGCAGGCTCAGCAGCAGAAGCAGGAGAAGAAGCCCAAGGAGAAGAAGGAGCCGGCTCCCAAGAAGGCCGCCGAGCCCGTCGAGGAGTTGGATGCCGCCGATCAGGCCCTGGCCGCCGAGCCCAAGTCCAAGGATCCCTTCGATGCGCTGCCCAAGGGCACCTTCAACTTTGATGACTTCAAGCGCGTCTACTCCAACGAGGAGGAGGCGAAGTCCATTCCCTACTTCTTCGAGAAGTTCGATCCCGAGAACTACTCGATCTGGATTGGCGAGTACAAGTACAACGAGGAGCTGTCCAAGGTGTTCATGTCGTGCAATCTCATCACCGGCATGTTCCAGCGTCTGGACAAGATGCGCAAGGCGGCCTTCGCTTCCGTTTGCCTGTTCGGCGAGGACGGCAACAGCACCATCTCCGGCATCTGGGTGTGGCGCGGACAGGATCTGGCCTTCACCCTGTCGCCAGACTGGCAGATCGACTACGAGGTCTACGACTGGAAGAAGCTCGATGCCAAGAGCGAGGAGACCAAGAAGCTGGTCACCCAGTACTTCTCCTGGTCCGGTGCCGATAAGGATGGCCGCAAGTTCAACCAGGGCAAGATCTTCAAGTAAACGCTCAGCGCTCAGCTCAAAGCAGCAGCACACATTTAGACCAACAACAATAGCAGCAGTAACAATAAATTTGAGATTCAAATGCAGGAAGAGCACGATGCCTATTTCTTAAGTTCCAACTGATAGTATCCTAAAGATATCCAATATCTGTCGTGCTGCCTGCCAGGTTCGGTCGCATGTCTGTTTCACCTTCCTCATTTTGTACTGGAGAATTTCTTTGTAAACCGCCTAAGCATAAACATGATATTGTCAACGGAACAGCCGCCTGCAGCCAGAACATAATTTATAAAAAATAAAAGGTTTTCTATTAATAACGACATGTTCTTGATTAACAGTGTGTGTCGGCTTTTTTGGATTTGTAGGTTAGGGAGGCATCAGTTTTAAACCTATGTAGAAGTTTCTAATCTTTGGTGGCTTATTAAAAATAAAATTTACTGAGCCCAATAAAGTAACGTTCTATATTGATTTAATTCAATAAATTTAAACTTCCGTTAAACTGCGATTTTTAAATAATAATTCATAGCCAGCAACAGCTTCGTAAATATTCTTAGCTATGCAATGAGCAAAGAGATTTCAATGTTTTTTGGGCAATTTTATTGGCTTCTTTTAACCTAATCCATCAATATCATCAATAATTGCTTATGATTACAAGGGGTTCTGAAAGCATTGAAGTGTTTCGAAGAAGTTCAACCATTAATCGTGGTTTTTAAAAGCAAACCGAAGCTCGGAGAGAATTTGAACAAGGAAATGCTAGGCATGTTATATATCGATGCACCGCTGGAATTTACTTCTTCACCACGACTGGACCAACGTTGTCGCCAGTCAACTTGTTGTGCTCGGCATGGCTGCCATCGCAATAGGGCCACTGGAAAAAGGAGAAAAAATTTAGTTTAAATATAGGAATTTAATATGTAGTAGACCATAAATTAATAGTAGGTAAAACAATCATTTAGTAATTGAACTGAATTCAAAAATTTTACAAATATTTTATAGGTGTTTATTCATGAATGAAAGGGCAATAATGTACCTTTTGGGTTTAGAAAGAGTATGGTTTCCCATTTAAAGATATGTAATAATACTTTTTAAAACATAAATCCACTCACGTTCTTGGTCTTCCAGCAGCGACAGAAGGCCGCCTTTTCCGCAATATCCTCCACGTCGATCATGTCCACCACCTTGGGTCATGCTTCCGGATTTGGTTGTTGCACCGACCGCTGCTCTTGGCCGCGCAATTAGCCCTAGCCGCCGGACAAAAGGCCAGATAGCTGGTGTAACCGATTCCGGCCACCACAACGGTGGGTGGGATCAGGGCCAGCCAATCCTTGACTGCAAATGAAATTGGGATAAGACTATAGCAGGGGTATTTTCAGATATAGAACTAGATATTTTGGTCAATCAGCCGTAACCGGCACAAGGTCGTCCTCTCTATACCGATTAGGTTATAAACGCACCAAGATATAAATATACATGCAATATATGTGGCCAATGAAGCGTCTACGCATTATAGGTCTATCTAGTTTCTTTATCTGGAGATAAACTTGCCCCAATTAAAAATTTCTTGGAGAGCTTAA